GAATTTAAAAGGGAACAAGGAGGGATATATGGGAGAGTTGGGAGAAAGGATAGGTAACAGGGAAAATGACATAATTGTATTAAAAATAAAAGGTACTTTAAAAAAGAAAACCAAAAAACCAGTGTAATAGAAAGGGAGCAAATTGATGGAGCTGAAAGAAAAAAATAATTCTTTAAAAAGATCAATATAATTGACAATTCTGTAGCCAGACTGAAAATGAGAAAAGACATAACCAGTTTTAGGACTAGGAACACACGCTGGCCTGGGTCCTACAGATGTTAAAAAAGACATGAATACGGTGAGCTTCTTGTCAGGGAGAAGAATCCAGTTCCATGACACAAATTGCCAAAACTGACCGATAGCAAAAGAATGATTTCATCACTGTCTATAGCGCTGAAAGATTGAGTTCCTCATTAAACATCTGCCAAGAAAGCTATGGGCCCAGCAGCTTTGCTCTTGTTTGTGTGTTGCGCCACATAGTGATCCAGCACACAGTCTTTAGAGGAGGTACTGCTTCTCATTCAGTGTGCAATACAATGTGCATCCCCTGCCGCAAAACCAAAACCACAGAAAAGAAAGTGCAGAGCAATAGCTTCTATGGCAGCAGACTCAGGATCCGACCTAAATGCTAACTAAATGATCCACCAGTAGCATTTTTCAAGGATGTTACAGTGTAACTATGTAGTATTTATCTCAGGAGTCAAGGTCTGCCCACAAACCCTGAGAGGTTTGCCAGGCTAATAGGTCCAAAGACAAGTGCCAAAGGGTCACTTCAGAGCCCAGGACAACCCTATCCATTCAAAATGACTGAGCAAGCCAGAAGGCAACTCAGCACCTGAGAAAAGGGACCTTGGCAAAGCTTCAGCGTGCTTTGTACTCAATGCTGAACCGAGGCTTTTCTTCTAAGCATGGATGGAAGGCTGTCCACACTTTTGCTATTTTGATACAGCATTCTCTCATAGGTTCTAGCCATTGGAGGAAAAGAACAAGTGAAACTGTTCTGCTGATGGCTCAGCAGGTAAAAGTCCTTGCAGTTAAAGCCTGTTGGCCTGAATTCCATCCCTAGAAGGAAAGAACTAACTCCTGAAAGTTGGCCTCCAGAGGCACACCTTGGCATATGTGCCCCCCAATACATACACACTAATAATAACACATAAAAAATATGAGTGAAACTATCTTAACTGTGTGTGTGTGTGTGTGTGTGTGTGTGTGTGTGTGAGTATGTGATGTCTACAATGAGTATAGTGATGAGAGGACAGACTTTAGGTGTCTCTTTTCTTCTTCAGCGAGATTTGGAATAGAATGCTGGTTGTTGGGCTGTTGGCAAGCACCTTTATCTGCTGAACCATCACCGCTGCCATCCCCCTACTTTGTAAAGAAGATATTGTAGCAAATGGTGCCAAAACAAGTCGGCAGCTGTAATGCAAATGATGAACCTTGATCTTCCTTTATACCACACAGAAATATTCAGTGGTAGTAGATCATTACCTAAATGTAAGGGTTTAAAGTGCAAACCTAGAAGAAAGCAAATGTGTCGCGTTGTGTTCGGCAGTTTTCTCCCGCAGAACAGAAGTCTAGTAAGTGGCTGAAAGAAGATAGTGATAATAGACGAAGTCTAGAACCAAGAGCTGAGTGCAGATCCGTGGTGGAGTACTTGCTCTTGTTCAGTACTACAAAACTAAGTAAGTAAATGAGCATGCTCCATTTGGCTCTATGCAGAACATGCAAAGACTTTTACAACTCCACAGTCGGACAGCCCAGCAAAAATGAATAAGCAGTGTGACAGACAGATCACTCACAAAGAATGTGTGCAAGTAAGCCAGCCCTCGAGTTACTTGGACAATTAAGTTACTTAGTAAATTAACAGGACGGGGAGTCATCACTTACTCTTTTAATGAGCCAAGTTAGAAGTGGTGATGACACAGATGGGGCATCTGCAGCTGTGATACATGGCTGGTGAGGACAGAGGGCAGGGCAGCTGCTGGCAGCAGGCTACAGGGCAGCTTCTTAGGAAGTTAAGCAGTAGCTAGCCTCAGAGTCCATACTTAAAAAGTAAAATGGAAATAGGACTGTGATAGGATCACTCAGCCAGTCCCGCAGACACACACAGAAGAGGGTACGTGAGTCTCAGAAGCATCATCTGAGTTAGCTGGTCCCAGAGATCTGCAGACATCCGAGGAGAAGCCAGGCTTTGTCTTGTTGATCAGTGGTTTACCTGGGTCCCAGAATCTCAGTAGGAAATGAGCTGTAAAGAGATATGAAGGAACTTGGAGGTGACAAAAATGTTGTGGATGTTAACTGCTTTTAGTTAACATGACTATTTGTATGAATTCTTGAAGCTTGTCAATCTGCACTTGATGAAGGAATTTCACTTCCACTTGACAAAACAAACCACGCAGCATAGTAATGTTTCTTTGTTTTTAAACGTATCTCTGTGTTTAGATTAGATTGTACTACCAATAGTTTAAAATGGTCTCACTCTGGGGTCAAGTATCTGGTAACGGGGAGGAAGAAGCTTGGCAGGGCTGTTACTTTATTCATTTGTTATTTATTTTGGTTTTTGAAGACAGGGTTTCTCTTTCTAGTCCTGTCTGTCCTGGAACTTGCTCGGTAGACCAGTCTGGCCTCGAACTCAGAGATCTGTCTGTCTGCCTCTGCCTCTGGGTTACTAGGATTAAAGGCATGCGTCACCACCTTCATGTGGGGCTGTTATTTTAGAGCACTCGGGAAGTCTCGCAGATAAAGAGAAATTGTACAAATAGCGCTGGAGAAAGTTAAGGAAATCCAGCCAAGTGGATCTCACGTGTGTTCCATGTTTCTCACTGACCTCTCCACTGGTGTGTGGGTTTCACAGGCCTTGCATTGACTGATCCTGACTGTAGTACCTCTCATTTGCACCCTCGTGTGCTTTGTCACTTCATTTCATCCTGTCACTTTTTCTTGGGGACAGTAGCTATAGTTTTTATGCATTTTCACCTTGTGGTTCTTGGCTCTGTGCTTTGCTTGCAGAATGTAGTCAGTTGGGCTGAGATGAGTCAGGTCACTGCTGTGTATCTTAATCTGTGTTTTCTTCGTTCAGTATAGCACTGGAATGTAAGCGGAACCTTAAATAGACCCACAGTGAAAACCAAGCATGCAGGAGCAGCACTGGGTAACAGCGTTTTAGCCTGACTTGTCAAATAGAACGACTGTAGGGTGTAAGGGTGCTGGCACTTTCAAAGGTATCCCTGGTGGACAAAAGGTAGGAGGGGTGAGAGAAGGGGTTCCAAGATTTTGCTGACACAGGTGGCTGAAAAGAAGGGTGGGCATTTATCTCTTCTGCCTGTCTTCATTTTTTCTATTCTACTTATTTATTCACTTATTTTTAAATCTTTATTTTTATTTGTGTATGGGGGGATCGGTTTATGTGCATGCATGCCGTGCCTGCAGAGGCCAGAAGATGGCGTTGGATCCCCTGAGGCTGAAGAAGCAGGAGTTTATGAGATGCTGATATAGGTGCTGGGAATTAAACTCTCAGAGAGCAGCAAGAACTCTTAACACTTCATCTATTTTACATATCAGCCAGTTCTGTAAGGTCAGTTTGGGCTGAGAGCTCCTTCATCTAAGTGAAAGCTGACTGGTGCATGTTTAGCCACTTCCAGTAGGTGGCAGCAGAGTGCTGTGCTTTAGTGTTCTAGCCTGTCTTGAGGGTTGCCTAGTCCTAGGTATTGAATATTCTTCTAGTTAAGGCCATTGCTGATGCCTAAACAATTTTTTTTTGTAGACAGATCAAAGTGACACTGTGGTTGTTAGCTGTCACTTTGTATCAGATGTTATGAGGAGCTAAAATAATAGTTTACTTTGTATAGGTTTTGTTTGCTAACAACCCTTTAACTACAGTCTTCACCCGCTGCAGTATGATTAATATTTCAACATATCGTTTTCTGCCTTACAGCCTTTTATAGAGAGTCCAGCTGCTGTAGTCTGGAACTGAATAAGGTCTTATTAAATAGTGCATAGGTATTTCATTATAGCTTTGGGGGCATTTTGTGTCTGTGTAAAACATTCACTTTGTTTCCTTTTGTAAACAAGCCCAAAGCTGAGTTGCACAAGAAGCATTTTAATTCTAGTAGTTAGGCCGGGCTGGTTTTTCTTCCTCGTTGCTGTGCTCGCTTCCAGGAAGCAGTGTCTGTACTGTGGGTAGCCCATGGCTCTGTTCTGCCCGCTGCTCAGAAATGGCAGTGCAGTATGAGCTACAAAGTGGACCTTTGGAAAGGCCAGAGCAGGAGGCAAGTCTGTAGCATGATAAGCCACTTAGCAAACAACTCTTACAAGTTTTTCTCCCTAGGGAATCTGTTTACTTAGGAGAGAGTTTTAAAACTGTTCTTTAAAAACAATGTAGTGCTGAGGTTTCTCCCATTTTTCCCCACACAAAGTGCTTGCTGATTCGTGTAAACTCGCAGGACCATCTGTAACTGAATTTGGAATCCCGTCTTATGCATGCGAACATGCTTCATCCGGGGCATGTCATGCAGCATGTGTCTCACCTGCTTCTTTCATGAGCTCAGAGACTGCCTGAGTCTTTGCTTCACCCCCACGCTAACCCTGTTCAGTTCTAAACCAAGTCAGGCCGACCACAGGCCACGGACTCAGGGCAGCTGCCGCACAGGCTTCTCTTTAAGCCAAGAAGCAGCGTGAGAAAAGCACAGCAAATAGCTGAAAAGAACGACAAGTGGGCTAAGGCTGCGATGCGGCTGAGCAGACATCCTCCCTTCACTGGGCTAGAGGGTTAGGTGCTGTGGGACCGGGTCTTGTCGTCAAACGTGTCCCTCTTCTCCCCTCTTCCCATTGACTTGGGTTTGAGAACTTCCTCCTCAAATGGATTTTCTGAGACAACCTCTGCCAAATATGGGGAAAGGCCTCGGTTGTTGGTTGTGTTTGACCCTTCACATAGATGCTGACCGGCTTTGGGTTGCTTTGTCTCTGCAGCCACTGATGTTTTCATTCTGGTTTAACCCTAGCTGATCCTACGGTTAAGGACTTAATCGGAGGCTTCACCGCTCTGCATTACGCAGCCATGCACGGCCGGGCCCGGATTGCACGCCTGATGTTAGAGTCTGAATACAGGAGTGACATCATTAATGCAAAGAGCAATGATGGCTGGACTCCTCTCCACGTGGCTGCCCACTATGGGAGGGACTCATTCGTCCGGCTCCTTCTGGAGTTCAAGGCTGAGGTCGACCCACTCAGTGATAAAGGTACGACGCCGCTTCAGCTGGCCATCATCCGGGAGAGGTCCAGCTGCGTGAAAATCCTCCTGGACCACAACGCCAACATCGACATTCAGAACGGATTCCTGTTGCGCTATGCTGTGATCAAAAGCAATCACTCTTACTGCCGCATGTTCCTTCAGAGAGGGGCAGACACAAACTTGGGGCGCCTAGAAGATGGACAGACTCCTTTGCATTTGTCTGCCCTCCGTGATGACGTGCTCTGTGCACGGATGTTGTATAACTATGGAGCGGACACGAACACAAGGAACTATGAAGGTCAGACCCCACTGGCCGTTTCAATAAGTATTTCAGGAAGTAGTCGGCCATGTTTGGATTTCTTACAAGAAGTCACAAGTATGTAACATAATTACTACTCTTATTGCATCTTTTCCTCTTATTCGCACCTTCTGAGTTGCTTGAGATATTTTTGTAATACGAGATGACTAGACATTAATCATTCTTATAAGTCTTGCTTGGTAAGTAATCCTCATTCGTCCAAAACCCAACTGTGTTACTAAAAGTGGGTAGTAAAGTTTAGAGGAAATGACAGACATTTTTTCAGGATGAACGAATTTTGATGTTAGAACAAGTCAATTCCCTCCGGTCCAAACAATAGCCTGTCTAATACTGTATGGGATTCAGACTGAGGAATTAGGAGGAGAATTTGGGGTTTTAGATTCCTTAGCTATAGAGATGGTGCATAATTTGCACTTCATTGCTAAGCTCCAATGAAAGGAATGCCACTTTGGCTTATTTAAATACTCCAGTAATGGAGACTTAGGACCCCGGAAATTGTTTTGAGAAAACACTAAGAAACTGGCCCTTTGTCCCCAGGCCACAGAGCTTCCATCCTTGTCTGCCCAGTTTTCGAGATTTGCTTTCTTTGTACTTCCAAATGTCTGAATCATCTAACAGAAGCAGTGGATGTCCACATTGCTTTCTGGGGGCAGCGTTCGTCTGCACGGACTTTGTTACCTTTTCTTGTCCTGCTTCCCTGGAGCTGGCCGAGTGTGTGTACCAGAGGTTAATGTGTGAGCCAAGGAGCTGAGGGGTGTACGTGCCATTCATTTACTCTCCACTGTACTGTCCAGTGTCTAGCTGCCCTCTCCCACACCATCTTGATTACAGAAGAAAGGCTGGCTTCTGTCTATGTGGCATTTGTGACAGGCCAATTTTAGTTTTGAGTTTTTAAGTCTGGAAGCCAGGAGATGGTGCCAGTAAACTAGAGGACATAGATCTTGGAGTACACGAAGGTGTGTCGAGTGACAAGTTGGCACGGTCATAGGACAGACGGCTCCGAATCCCAAGGAGATGAACTGCCCTTTCTCCTATGGCTAGGCTAGCACCAGGTAGAGTGGAACTGTTTGTCTAGGTGTCCATGTGGACGTAATTGTGGAACCGGAAGATCGTGGGTGTTTGGTCCTTAGAGGCTGGGTTACAGCTCTCCAAGGGGAAAAGCAGACTATGGAAGTGCTTGCCCCCCTCACCCCCTAAAAAAAGAAAAAAAAAAACCCTTATTTATACAAAAAAAAAAAAAACAAGGGAAAGCTGAAGAAAGATTGTTGAAACAGTGGCACAGTTGTGTAACTTGGTGACATTACCTAAGTATAGCATAACCTGAGGGTATGGTTGGCTACTAACGAAACCCACCCGAGAACTGATTTGAATTTAGCGGAGATGAGATTTTTATTCTCGTCATCGTCCTTCCTGTGTAAAGCTCTCTTGTTAATCGATAACTACAGACTGCAGCATTGTTTAGAGTATGGAATATGTTTTAAAGACATTTTTAGTTTTACTAAATGCGTGTGGTATTTTGCCTGCCTCTCTGTCTATGTACCACGTGTGTAGCCGCCAAGGAGGCCAGAGGAGATCATTGGGTCCTCTGGAGCTAGACTGACAGGAGAGTGTCGGCTGGGAACTGAACCCAGGTCCTTTGCACAAGCAGTGCTGTCCAAACGTAAATTGAGAAGCAGAAATTTCATGAGAGGCCCTGCCCTACCCTCGGGGAGTGACTAACAAGGACTTGCACTGAAAGATGAGGTTTTAATGAATTCATGCCTGGAATTTGATTCACAGAGAAATTGTAGTCCCAGGCAATGGCCGTCTAGAAATGCTCGAGCAAGGATTATAGACTAGATCACTGGGTACATGGCCTCTGTACCGTGACAGCCACTTCTGCAGCTGGGAAAGGGAATCCTTGGAAAGAGCCGTGGTGGTGCACACCTGTAATCTTAGCACTCCGGAGGCTGAGACGGGACTTTGGGTTCAAGACCAGGCCAGGCCAGGCCAGGCCGTGTTGGAATGGCTACAGTCACAAGATTCTGCCTCCAAAAAGCCCGTTCGGTGAAGAGCTGGTGGCCTGCAGTTGCTTGCGCTGCAGTCTGGTAGCCAGCTCAGTGCGGACCTGAAAGGAGGCTGCTCTGCATTGGCTTGCTCATACCTCAGAGCCTTTGTTGTGAGTGTTTCCCCTTGGGTAGGAGAGGGCCGTGTTCAGATGACAAAGTAGAGCAAAGTTAGAGCCAGGCAAGTGGAGTCGGGCTGTCCTCCTGGCCTCACTCCGCCAGCTCCGTCCATACCTGCACCGTGTGGGACCCTCAGCTCCGCAGAGCAGCTGCCTCATTCGGGCGTTAGGCAGGATCTCCCGCACTCTAAGTGTTTCCATTAGGTTTAAATGCATACTCATACTGCTCTAGGTTCTCTGGCTTACGGTCATTGCCACATCTGTATCGCATCTAAATCTCCTTCTGATGCCAGCTCTGTTTCTGGCTGCCTTTTTATCCTGCCTAGTATGCTACAATTTTTTTTTAAGTTGAAGCTAGGCATGATGTGAAGAGCAGCAAGAACTCAGGTGATAGTGCACTCCCCCTTTTTTGTTTCTGTTTTGACCTTTTTGAGACCATCTTGGCTATACAGCTCTGCTTGACCTGTGACTTGCTGTACTGACCATGCTGTCTGCAAACCTGCAGTGGATTCCTCTGCCTCCACCTCCCTAGAGCTAGGATTGGGTGTGTGAGCCGCCATACCTGCTCTGTGCTAGTCTTTCTTCCTGTAAGGCTTGCTGTGAGTCTGGCTAGGCACAGGGTGTAACTATGTGTAACTACCTGCAGAGAGCTAGATGGGCAAACTCCCCCAGCATCGTCGTTTCTCCCTCGCCGGCATATCGACCCTCATGCCCTTGCCTCGTCCTCAGGTGTGCTGGCTTTCGCCCACTGCAGCTGCAGTGGGGCCCTGTTGGTGTAGTTTTCAGGTGTGGTGGTGGGCCACTACCCTGCAATTTTCTAATTAAATTCCAGTCTTCTAAACGAGCCTGTGTCCCCAGGCTGGAATCATCATATGTGTTTTCCCTTAGGTTTTTTTTTTTTCTTCCAGCCCTGTCAGATGAGGTAGGAAGGCCAGTCCTGAGAAATGTCCGTTCCCTGGGTGAGCCCTTTCCTTTGGAGAGCAGCCGTAGTTGTGGAGCAGCTTGGGATGCCAGTTGCGCATCCCCTCCCTGCCATAGCCATCAGGGTCTTTATTGGTCTCCACTTTGAGGACCTGGCAGGGCCTCCTCAGACTGGCTCTGGGCGTTCTGTCCTTCCATGGTCCCCAGTGCCTCTGTGAGCCCTGTGGCTTCTGCTCGGGTAAGTGGGCGTCAGCCTCGGTGCTCTGGGTCTATCGTAATCTCCAGAGCTTTTGATAAAGGTGCAACCTCCAAGATCAGGCTTAGTTTTTAAAGTTGTTCAAGTTGTTCCTTCAAGAACTCAGGAGTGATGGTGTCTAAGCCCTGACGCGCTAGTGCTGTCATAGGATGGCCATCTGGTTTTATCGTGGCTTCATTTCGAAGCATCCTTGCTGTGGTTCTTTGAGAGCAGGAGGATTTTGCACACTGGAATCAGAGGCTCCTTTCTCTGCATCATCAGGGCTCTCAGCTGTGCCCCTATCAGATGTTGTTAGACCAGCAGCATGGGGAGTGCAGAGGGCCCCAAATGACCTGCCTAATAACCTTAGACAAGGTCTTCAGCTTCCAGCCCCGCCCCACAGAGGAGGAAAGGAGAGGGAGGGAGGGAGGGAAGGAAGGAAAGAGAGGACCATATAGATATAGAACTGATTTTATCTGTTGTTTTTTCTCCAAGGATGGGCTTTTAGTAGTCCAGGTTGCTTTTGGTGGCCATAAAATCCAGTTGCATATCTGTAGTGCTTTCCCTTTGCACTGTGATGACCTTTGTGCTGCTGATGTGTAAGCTTTGGAGGGAAAACTGCTTCCAGGTTAGCATGGCAGACAGCCTGGCTGGGATGCTGATAATGGCTGTTTGCTGCACTGCCAGGAGCCTCAGTCACGAGCAGTCCAACCCATTTACAAGTGTCTGCAACAGAGCAGTAAACATAATTGAATTACATCTTGTCCCTTTGTGCGCATACCTTTTAAATGTTCTGTAGATGAAAATAACTGAGTGGGGGAGACGTGACAGGTTTGTTTGAGCTGCACCAGTAGCTTTTTCCATGGAAAACCACTTTTCCGTGAAGGACTGAGAGCCAAAGTATACCATTTAATCACGGGCACTTAGCAGGCATTTTCCTGGAAATGCACAAAGTTCACTTGTCACTCTAAGGGAAATGACCACAGTATTGATGACCAGCTGGATCTTGAGCTTTGAAAAGAAGGATTTTGAAAACTTGAATTTACCACTGTGAGAGTCCTACTATGTAATGACTTTTGTCTGAGATCAGTGGAAATATTAAGAAAAGTAATTTTTTTGGTATCATATAATGAAATTGACTAACAATTTGAAGACATGCATAACCTAGTATGCCATGTATTTCTGATGACTAATTTATATTACTCTGTGTATGGATAAATGGTCCACTAAAAGTTTAAGATGTGCCAATGAACTATAATCTAAAAGTACAAAAAGTTCATCAATGTAGTTTCAGATTCTCTCTCACAACTGTTGGAGCTGGGGAGATGGCTCAGTTGGTAGTGCTTGCCAAGCAAGCATGAAGACACCGGTTTGGATACCCAGCACCCACATACAGAGTTGGACATGGTAGCATATTTTTGTAACCCCAGCACCGGGAAAATGAAGACAGGAGGCTTTTGGGCCAGTTCTCAGTCAGTTGGGGAACTCCAGGTTCAGTGAGAGAGCCTGCCTCAAAAAATAAGGAGCAGTCAAGGAAAACAGTAGTTAATGCTGGCATCAACACACACACACACACACACACACACACACACACACACACACACACACAGAGAGAGAGAGATCACAAATATAAACAGAAAAAAGTCCCTTGTCCCATTTTAAGAGGGTTCATGGAGTATCTAGTTGTCTGGAAGAACCGTTCTAAGTATCCCTTGCTTTCCCAGCAGCGTATCTGAG